ATATATATATATATTTGTGCATAAAATAAAATAAATTCAATTCAAAATTTTACTAAATTAATAATAATAAAATAATTATAATAATAATACAATAATTAATGATTATTATCTTTATTATATATATATTATTAAAGAATTAATAATAAAAAAAATATATAAAAACCCTAAAATATAAAAAAAGATACACAATAATAAATTTATCTACCCTGATTGCTCCTTCCATTTTTAATAAACATCAAAAGTTCCTAATCCTAATAAAAAAAGAAATTAAAAAAAAAAAAGGAATAAAAAAACGTTTTAAATCTTTAACGTTTTCTATCCCGTTGACCATCAAGAACATTAGCACAAACACATACCCAGTAATAAATTATTTCAACCTAGTGGAAAGTCTGAATGTCCGAAGAAGAAACTTTTGAAATAACGAGACTTTTCTCTAATCTCAAAGCCTCATCCTATCTCCCTTTCCTTTTCCCTTTTTACCCTACTCTCACATCAGTGTAATACGACTCTCAACAGCAGCTATTTTATACACATACATACACACATCCATATACATACATATTAACGGCTTGGAAAGAAGGCAAATCATGGATGAAGTTCTTTTCCATTCGTTTCAAAAGATTCACCGAAAAAAAAAAAAAAACCTTTTTTTGCGACTCATACGTTCATATAATGGATACCAAATTTCTTGACAGTATGGTACCACTATAACCCCATCCCCACCACCAACACCATCACCATAACCAAACGCAATCGACAGATGAAAAGTAAACGATCGGAAATAAGAAAAAATAATCGAGTAGATCAATGAAACGAAAACGTTTTCCCCTTCCTCATAGGTTGGTTGTAGAAAATCGTCTTTCGTTTCAGCCCTAGGATAAGTACTTTTCCCTTCCTTCCTTCCTTTCTTCCATCCTTCCTTCCTTCCTTCCTTCGACTTAACTTTTCCCAAAGTAGAAGAAGAAGAAGAAGAAGAATCCGTAAGATCGAACGATGACTTAGTTATTCCCCTTTTCTTTTCTCCATCAAGTTTCTTGAAAAGAAATAGAAAGAAAGATCTCACTTTATCTCATCAACTTGGCATCCATCTTTCCATTTCTATCTTTCTTCCATTTTCCTCTCTTTCATCCTTTCTATATTTCACTTCTTAGGATTCGCCTAAAGGGAAAAAGATATATACCCAAAAGTATCTGTGGTGAGGTTCTTCTTACCCCCTTTCCTCTCCCCATCTTCTCCAAGGGGTCCTCCTCCTCCTCCTCCTCCTTCTCCTCCTACTCCTCCCGCAATTTTGTATATCACGAAAACTTTCACAATTAGTCTCAGAACTTTCATAATTTTGTAGCTTAAGCACCCGGCCTTGTTTTGCGGCGGCGAAGCGTTACCTTGGTCGGTTTAATTTATCATTTCACCTTTTGCTTATATCCTTACTCTCTTTCTCTCTCTCTCTCTCTCTCTCTCTCTCTCTCTTTGTCTCTCTCTTCATTCAAACAGACGGGTCTGCCTGTTGTTTTCGTTCTTTTATTTTCTATCTTTTTCCATCTACTTTCGCATCCCTTATTCTCTTCTCACCTATCTATCTCTCTCTATCTTTCTGTTTTATTTTCTTTCTTTCTCTAGCGCAAATTTTCCTGTCTTTTCCAGTTTCTCCCTAGCTTTCTTCCCATCTCTTCGTTTATCTCCTCCTTCTCCACCTCCTTCTCCTCCTACTCTTTTACTGGGATTTTCCAGCAAACGAATTAAGCTGAGCTCGCGGGAAATTGCTTTGAAAAAGGAGCTCGGCAGATGGTGATGTTGGGAATCGGTTGGTTGGCGAGTGGGTGGTTGGAAGGTTGGTGGTGATGGGTGATTCAACTGTTTCAGGAATAACAATCGTGGTAGGAAAAGAAAGAGAGGAAAAGACAAGGTTCACGAAACTACGAATGTTTTTGTACAAGGGTGCACGGTGGTAAGAAGGCATCTCGATGGTATTCCATGGAGAATAACGGAGAAACGAACGCTCTGGGAATCTTTAAAATCGCTTTTGACTTTGTACTAATACATATATATATATAGAAAGAGAGAGAGAGAGAGAGAGATACATCCCATACTTACGAAACTGGGATTTCTATGATTATATTATTTTATTCGTTGCAACAAACGAACATTTTCCTCTTTATCTCTTTGTGTGTGAAATATCTTTTACATTAATTATTTCAAATAAAATATGATGAGGGAAGAAGGTTGGGAGGAGGTAAGACGAGAGAAATTATTTACATTCACTGACAAATTCGTTAAAATAGATACAATTATTTCTATACCCCCATGATGAACATTGTAAAATAATTTATTTAAAATCGTTCTATTTGTTTCATGCATTTCAATATCTCATTTGAATTANGAATAATTAAAAAAAAATTTCCAAAATCTGCGCGGTTTGATATAAGTTTATTATATATATATATATATATAAAAGATATGATTTAACGTTAGCCAACGAAATAAATGAAGAGAAATGGACCTCAAAAGAAATCCTTGCAATTTTTTGTTACAGTTTTATCAACTATTGGAGACGAGCCAGGTGGCGAACAACACGCTGATGTATCGTCATGTTACCGTTTTCGCTCCAACAAACAGGGCCTTTCAAAAGTACAATGGAAGCAAGAGTAACTTAGTTCTCTATCATATGTGTAAGTAAAATTTATATATATGTATATGTAAAATAGTTATATATATATATTTACATGAACAACGACATTTCCAAAATTATTTCAATAATTTTGTTCATATTATTTCAAATTATAAATAAACCAAATGATACTATAATACACAAAAATAGTATATTATAATACTATATATTTAATATTATAAATATTAATTATCATAATATTTTAATAAATATAATATTTATTTATATATTAATTTATATTAATATATTTAATAATTAATATTATATTTTAACTATATTAATATTAAATTATATATAATAAATATTAATTTAGTATTATAATTAATATTTAATATAATTTTTATATAATATTAATATTATAAATATATAGTATTAATAATATAGTATATATATCATAGTAAAAGATAAAAATCTCTTTTCTTTAAAATTATTTATTTATTCTGCTCTTACATAATTTGATTTTATAACTGATTTAAATTTGATCCTTTCTATATTGAGATAAAAGTAATTTCTATCTTACAATCAGTTTTTGAATATTTAATAACATATTCTCAATTGATGTCAACAATGTTCTGTATCTGACAAATATAATAATGCATATCAACGAATTCGTGATTCATAATTTACATACGACTAGTGTCCAACTATAACTAGTTCAAGTTTACCTTCCTATTACAAATTCGAACTCCACTCTCTTTCATTTCGACAGATTCATAGAAGTAGGTAATATACAAGTGTATATATGTATATAGTCAACTCTATTTGAAATATAGTTATGATGATAGAGAATACTAGTAGAACTTTGTACAATATCTAATTTATAATACTGCATATATAATTTCTATTTGAAATACTTTCATGTAAAGTTATATCATATATTCCTTAAAAAAAAAAAAAAAAAAAAAAATTAAAAGAAATAGACACCAAAAATTTCTATGAACTTGCTGTAAAAGTGTATCTGTAAAAACTTACGTGTTAAAAAAAAATAAAGAATAAAAAGAAATTCTCGTAAAACTTACAAACTATGTTGTTAACTTTATCAAATTATTTAGATTATCAATTATTTTTTATTCTCTACATATTTACACCGCGTACTTGAAAACTAAAATTATTAAAAAATTATTCGTACACAAGCATAACCATATTCATATATATTTATAGCATATATTTAAAATATATATTAATTTTATTATACTTTTTTATTTTTATATTTATATTGAATAAATTTATTATATTAATTTATTATATTAATATTATATTAATTTTTTTATATTTTATATATTTTTATATTTAATATAAATTATATATATAAATTATATTAATATTAATTACATATATTAAATATATTAGGTTACATAAGGGTATCCTAGGTATCTTCCCTGTTTCCCCCAAATATTTTACCGATCGATATTTCCCCTTTACACCCCCAACACTCAAAAAACATACACCACTCATAACCCCTTTTAACTTTGTAGTACACTTTCCACACACAAAAAGTTTCACTTTAAAAATATATATGTATATATATTTATATATATACAGTATATATATATATATATATATATATATATATA